TAAAACTAAATAATACAATACAATATATTGGGAACAAATATTTTGAATAAACAGATGAAATATCAAATACTTATAAATACACTGTCTTTTGGGAATAAATCATGGATTTATATTTTCAACAACAATTTTGGTGATTATTTAATATTAATGTTAATTTTGTGTATTTACTTTATGTAATTTCTGGTTCAATTAATATATAATGTTGTAGCATTTAATTTAAATATTATTAGCTTGATACTGTTTTATTTATTTACCAACATCTAAACAAATAAACTGTTAAACGTTAAAACAGTAGGTACTGTCTATTACAACTATATAACCTTTGAGAGTCTAAAATCTCAGTCTCTCTTGTGACCATGATTGCTGTAAAGCATTCGAAACGTCGAGAAATAAAAATCAAAATAAATCCGCGAAGAAATCCGAAAAAACAATTATTTAAAATGTCAAATATTCGCAATGGCGGATTTCCAAAGATGGCAGACTTTTTTTATACACCTTCATGATATGGATGTCAAATGAAAGGATTTGCTGAGAACAATAAGAAAACAAAGTCAAAAACATGAAAGTTTAAACAAAAAAAAACTAGTTTTTATTTAAATACCCTAAAAAAAGAAGTATAACTTTTTTAGTGCGTACATAAGTATAGACACACTTTTTTATATTAGGTTATATTTAAAAAAAAAATAGAATATTCATTACAGGAGACCGAGAGTATTTATATTGACTTTTACATTTTGAAATCATACAGTGCAGTGTGCAAGTTTGCCTTTACAAGGTTTTTTTAATGATGAATAATTCAAACTATACGCACAGTAAAAAATATTTCATCCGCATTCAAAAAGGATAAAAACTAACGAGTAACGGCCACAGCAACATAATAGACGCGTCACTCCACAAACTACGGCACTATACACATTGTACGCTAGCTGCATCACGCAAGAAATGCCCTCGATTTTTATTTTAAACAAACACATTTATTCTCTTTAGATATGACTAGCATTGCCCGCGGCTCCGCCCGCGTTCAGATGACTAAAAACCAAATTCTTAGGTTTTACATATTAGTATACTCTTACATTGTAGTTTTTGTATTTTCTCTCAGAAATGAGACCTTTTTCCTGCGATAAAAAGTATCTTATATGTTGACCCGGATAACCAGCTATCACCATACCAAATTTCATCAAAATCCCTCCAGTGATTTCCATGACGCGGTAAAAGACAGACAAACAGACAGGCAGACAGACAAGCAAAAATTCTAAAAACTATAGATTCGGAATCTGTATCTATAATAATGTCTATTTCATTAAGATTTTTCAAAAAGTATTTCATGTACAGATTCGGCTTAGTTAGAATTTTATTATATGTTTAGATAACCATAATACTTTTTTAGAATTACGAAAATGTTTAACATCAATATTAATAATATAAATGCGAAAGTAACTCTGTCTGTCTGTCTGTCTGTCTGTCTGTCTGCCTGTCTGTTACGTTTTACGTTTTATCTGCTGAACTGATTTAGATGAAATTTGGTATGCAGATAGTGGGAAGAACATAGGATAGTTTTTATCCCGGAAATCATCCCTTAAGGATCGAAAAAGGGGATGGAAGTTTGTTAGGGGGATTCAATCATTTCTCAAGTCAAGGGATATAATTTTTTTTATTTTTTTAAGTACTTACCTACTTTTCTATACCTATGTATATAATATATACCATATTATGGTCTATCTATTCCGTACTTACCGTTAATGAAACTATCTTTTCGGATTTTTCGCCAACTCTCTGTAACAACTATATAGTAACTTTTGTGACCATGATTGATATGATACATTTAAATCATCGGTAACCAAAAATTAAAATAATCCGCGAAAAATCCGAACAGATAGTTTTATTTAACCTTAATAATGTTTATTATGTAGTGAAAATATCTCTTGTAATATATAAATGCGAAAGTTGAGAAATGGGGATGTATGGAAGTTTGGATGTATATATGTATAAATGTTTGTTACGCTTTTACGCAAAAACTATTCAATGGATTTTAATGAAACTACAATAATATTGGTCATACAATAACACATAGGCTACTTTTTATTTCGGAAAAATGTGCGGTTCTCGTGGAATAGGTATGCTGATGCTGAAGCGAGGGTGAGCGGCTAGTTATTTAAAATAATAATAATAATTTATAATAATAAAATTAGATTATAATAATCTATTTTGAATGTAGACATGCATGTATTTTTTTTAATTTTGGAGTTTGGCTTAATTTTTTGCAAATTAGCGGAAACAAACAGATAATTAAACAAAATACAACTGAATGATTGTTTGATTAATGGTTTGCTTATAGGTATAGGATTTTGAAAAAAAAAGATAATTTGAATTAAAATAGACATTGAAAAAAAAATGTTATAGTTAATATTTTTTACAGCCTTACTCGTTATTTTGAACATTTTACGTACTGCGTGCATAAAAGGGCTCACTCAAAAAATATTTTACCTTTCATTCCTTTCTTCATATTTACTAGTCAGACTATATAGTAACTGACTTTGATAAAACCTAATAAAATTCCTAGAAAAATTAACAATGTTAGTCAAAATGCTTTGCATGTTTCACGCGTCAAAAAATTTAAAGCTAATTTTCCAAACTGTTAATGCTCAAGCTCAAACTTAGTTCATACAAATTCATTTCGCTACCTTCCGGACTCGACTATTAAAAGTTTTCTTTATGTGTCGAAACTTTGTGGTTAATCCTGAAGTTTTTATATTATGTACCGATATGCGGTACGTTTTATTAAATTTACCACGTGTATTGAATATTAGAGCTTTACTGACCTAAAAAGAAAATTATTTATATTTTTCATAAGATTTATTTATCAGTATTATTTCTTTATGTTGTTGAAATACTTTAACAGATAATGGTTAGTGGCTTAAAGGTCATGGGTTTGATTAAAATTATTATATTTTGATGAAATTTAGTGTGTCTATGACTCGAAGTAACACATAGGCTGCTCTTAGGCAACTAGAGATGTACGCGTTAAGTTTTTCCGCTAACATATTGTTAGAAGTTACATCATTTTAAATACAATAAAATTACCTTTGAGACGTCTCAAACCTTAGCCTCTTCCAGTATAAAGCACGCGCTAGAGTCTTACCGCTTAGAAATGTGCTTACTTTTAAATTTTATCGCGAAGAATTTCAATTGTGTAGATGAAAATATTTACACCAAGCTCTTCCACCGTTTGGCAGGTTTCCTAACGATGTAAGGCGAATATGTAAGCGAAACTTAAATATCATCCTCATATTCTTATCCTAAAATTGTGATTTAAATATATGTACGTAAGATGCTGAAAATTTAGATTGCTATGAAAATATTCCACAAAGTTTCTTTGTAAAGAAGGGCATATATAATCACTAGCAGAACCCGCGGTTTCACTCGCGCTAAAACTACAAGAAAAAACTCTAAAATGGTAGGTTTCATGCAAACTTTCATCCGCTATTTTACCCCCTTATGGGATGAATTTCGAAAAATACTTAAACACGTATTTAATTAATTGTATTGAAGAGCATTAATATTAAGTTTCAAGTAATTCTGATCATAAATAATTTTTCGGTTTGTATTATAATATATTTTCCTGTGGGAAAGAGATAATCTCCCGCGGTAAAATGTAGTCTATGTCACTCTCCAGTCATCCAACTATCTCCACATAAAAAATCACGCCAATTCGCCACGCCGTTTCGACGTGAAAGAAAGACAAACAAACTAACACACTTTCACATTTATAATATTAGTAAGTAAATATGGATACTATCCTAGCTCCTGCACCTAAAAATCACAATTTACACATAAAAAATCTTGAACTTCAAAATCGTTGGATTTAAATGAATAAGTTTTCAACTCGGTAGGTTAAGGTTTTTTTTGCATACGCGATTTTGCATGACGATTAACAAATGCCTCCTTTAAATTTTTTATTCGTCCATATTTTAAGTACGAATAACAACAGCCATAAAAACATACAAAAATATATCACAAAAGTTGTTATCATCTTTATACAATAAATTGATATTGGAATAATTCGATGGATTCTATCGCAATTAATATATAATATTATATACGTTGTTCGATTATATGAAATATCTTGACTCTAGTATGATAAGACTTATTAAATCTATACTAATGAGAGCTAATATGTTCATATTGGAATATAGTTGATTTATTAAGCCTGAGAGCGAATAAGATAATATGAAAGTATCTTAATACAGGTATGAGTAATCTATAAATATAATAAAATTGTAATTAAGCCAAATCTGTACATTAAATATTTTTTGGAAAATCTTATTGATATAGACATTATTATCGACACAGAGGCCGAATCTATAGTTTTTAGAATTTTTGTTTGTTTGTCTGTCTGTCTGTCTGTCTGTTACCGCATCACAGAAAAACCACTTGAGTACTACCATAAAATTTGGTATGATGATAGCTGGTTATCTGGGTCAACATATAGGATACTTTTTACAGCGGGAAAATATCTCATCTCTGAGAAATCGATACTAAACGTTAAAATGTAAGTAGGGACGAACCCGAGCAAAGCGAGGGTTAGTCACTAGTGTATTTAATAAAATTAGAAATAGTTATAATTTTAGGAGTCATAAAAATCCCATCCACTCCATACAATCATTATATTAGCTCAATGATATCATATCTTTATATTGCCTCTTTAGAAAATATACATGTATAGTTAGGTAAGTAACAGCTAAAGTTAACAAAGATTCTACAAAATTGCAATGGCAGGAAAATTTTGTTACCTCATTAGGCAGATTCATAAATATTTTATTCAAATAGAAACAGTTCTAACAAGCAAAATTTAGCATGAAAAAGTCTTGTTTCTGTAATTACACTCCATATTTATGTATAATAAAGTCTATGGAATAATTTAAATGTATACATTCGTTGTTTTATTTATGTAATGTTTTAAAACAGAATAGAGGATGAAAAAAATTAAATTCTTTGTTGAAATGTCCGTTTATATTCACATCACTAACGAAAGGCATATATTCAGGGAATATTTGAAAGAAGTGAAATCAACAGATCCGATTTCAAAATGCAGGTTCTTCCGGGCGCGTTGTATTTGTGAGTATTTTACGCGATAAGTAATAGCTCTAATTGTGATGTCACAGGACTAAGAGCCTTCCTTAACTTAGGCTACTGGGAAGCTCAACAGTTGCTCTTAAAACAAAATTCCAATACAATTATTATTTACAAATCCTACGTGAGACTGCTATTACCCAACTAGAAATTAGTTCCAAATAAATTAGAATCTTCCATTCTTACAATAGGTAAAGTAAATTGCATACATTTTATTTTCTTGGCGTTCAAAGCTAGATTGTATTCAGCCCTTTTTAACGTCCCACTGCTGGGCACGGGCCTCCCTTCAATACGAAGGGTATCAGGCCATAGTCCACCACGCTGACCAAGTGCGGGTTGGCGGACTTCACATGTCTTTCGAAAACTTGCTAAGTTCTTTCAGACATGCAGGTTTCCTCACGGTGTTTTCCTTCACCGTAAGGCAAGTGGTAATCATGTTAGAAATGATTCGCACATGAAAATATCAGAGGTGCGAGACCCGGGATTTGAACCCGCTTCACTCGGTTTCCCAAGCGAGTGCGTTACCACTGGGCTACCACTGCCTCGCTAGATTATTGATTAGCCAAACATATAATATATGTGATAGTGAGCTATTCATTTCGACATAATTCAAATCAATTTTATTCACTAGAAACAAAAATAGACCAAAAATAGATCCCTGTGGAGCACCTAGAGAGACCTATTCTGAGACGACATCTAGAAGAGTCAACGTTATTTACAGTGATAACTAAACCCTACCACTAAGATAAGATGCAATGAAATCAAAATCAATGCCACGAATACCGTAATAAATAAGTTTGAGCAACAGTGTTTTATGCGCTATGCATACAAAGGCCTTAGATACATCACAGAAAACTCCAATAGCATTTTGTGATTTTACCCAAGCGTCGTCCATAATGACGTGTTTAAAGAAGTGCAATTCCCGTATCAACTGTAGAACTGCCTTTAGAAAAACCATACATATTATGGAAATTATGGAAAATATTAATTATTAATTTTAAAATCAGTATCGCAGGAAAACGAAATATGAATACGGTCAAAGACGCATGAAGAAGTCTATATAATAAAAAATATCAAAATTAAAAATAAGAACAATTTCATCAGTACCAGTTTTCTAAATATTTGTTTCAAATTCGTTAAATTAATCGGTTTGTTACTAAAAATATATAAAGAAGCCTGTCGTATAAAAACGATGAAAAAGTAAAAATAAGAAAAAGATGATTAAGAACTAGTTAATCAAATATTAGCCTAAAATACTTGTTAAGTTTAAATTAATTTCACGGCTGTTCAGACTTCACCCTTGTCGTTGTCGGTTTGCGGCGATCTTCAGATTTTGTTTTAATCTTGTTTACACGATGCGGTTTTCAATGACTTTAAATTGTGATTTTTAATCTTTTATCCATAAATCGTATTAAAAAAACGCAGATATTTCTCACATTTTTACCGACTTAATAAAAGAGGAGGTACTTAATTCAGTTGTACTTTTTGTATGAACAATGTACGCGATATCTTTGCTACTAATTGTGAATCAGTTCATAATAATTTTTTAATGGATAAAATGAATAAATTCGGAATAAATCCACATCCAATTTTTATATTATGATTTTAAAGTTGGTTTACGCATCCGAATGGCCGTCCATACTTTTATCTTTCAAAGAATTATGTATTTGAAATTTACTTTAAAAAGTTTATTTTTTTTAGCCATTATGGTTCCAATGAGTTTCTATAATAAATAATTATTAATGTTCGGTATTTTTCTTTATAGTGGTTTGTTTAGAAGATTTATGTTGTCTACTGTGTATGAATCAATTATTCAGATCACTGGTTCGGTCTATTTAGAACAATACCAATTAATACTACCAACCACAATACGTACTATTATCCAAGCAAACATTGCATTTTCCACAAGATATAGACATTTGTCGTTTAAAATCCGAGTCAAATATTTATATTCTTGGATATTTTACTCTGCGTCGACCCATAATAAAATAATTAAAAAACACACACACACATTCAGGCTTACGACAGACTAAATTGCACACACACAGACTAAATTTTATAGAGTCTGTATCGTGTGCACTCACATTATAGGAAAACTCAATTCAATTCTCTTGTGAAAGGCTTCAAAACGTGATAGTTGAGGACAGATTACTTTGCCAATGTCGTATAGAATGGAGAAGACAGGAAGGGAGATATATTGGTAAAAAAAAAGTATCACTTTCTGAGATGTCTGTCACATAATAGACAGGTGCGTCATTTCCATACATTTTTATTATACTATTCGTTCTTTAATTGATCCAGTCAAGCCAACGTCCTCACGTCGATACGCGCTACTATAGTAAATCATATTACTGATTATATTTTTATCATTATTATGTATTTTTGTTGAAATAACTATAATCACCCATTAACCTTCGATATGTGATTGCTTTATATATAATATGCATCATTATGTTCATATAATTTAGATAATATACTATACGTTATACAATCCCTGTAACGACGCTATCATTATAGGATCATTTTGTTGTAATAATGGTAAATTACTTTTGATTACATATATGAGCATTAAGCTTTAAACAATGTATGTTCATATATGTTTAATTAAATAGATTTTTGTAGATTTTGTTTGTACTCTATTTATCCCACTTTTAATTAGATCGTAGCTCAGTGACAAAGGTCACAGATTCGATACTGGCTTGGGCTTTTTATTTGTGTTAAAAATATTGTTTGTTCTGACATGGTTATCTATATATTTTGTCATATTCTATATACTTATAACTGACCTGACCAACTGAAACTGACCAACATACCATTTTATTATATCAATGTAATTATGCATGTACATATTATACGAGTATAAGCTTTATAATAAATCTTAGCTCAAAGAAATAATAAATTATAAAAATATTTGGTTATGAATAATTTATAAAAATATATTGATAATAAGAATGAGTATTTTTGTTAATTGAGTTAATATTAGAAAGAATAAAGTTAAAAATAATATTATACTAGCTACTAGGAAAACAGAAACAAACGTATCCCACAGGAACCGTACAGTTTTCCGGGATAAAAAGTATATAAGTTTACAGATATATCTGTGCCAAATTTCATCCAGATCCGTTCAGCCGTTCTGGCGTGAAAGAGTAACAAACATCCATACATCCATACTTACAAACTTTCACATTTATAATATTATATAGTATAGATTAGCGGACCCGATATACTCGTATGTAGCCCTGTCCAAATTAAATTAAATCGGCTTGTGATAATGAATCCATACAAAAATCCTGTGGGAAAAGCACCTTTTGTTTTTTCATGTATTTCCTCTTTTCCTGGCAAGATTTCATATTATTACCGTAAAAACTTTATTGCAGCCATTATAAAAATTAAAAAATATATTATAACCAAATCGGTCCAGCTGTTCTCAAGTAATGCGCTGATCAACAATGAAATGCTGTTTGCATTTCATTTTTATTAACATACATATAATAAAATTCTAACTAAGTCGAATCCATACATCAAAAAATTTTTTGAAAATCTAATTGATAAAAGTTGACAAAGGCCGAATCTATAGGTTTTAGAATTTTGGTCTATCTGTCTGGGAACGCATCACGAGAAAGCCATTGGACAGATTTTGATAAAATTTTGTATGATGCTAGCTAGTTGTCCTGGCCAATATATAGGATACTTTTCATTGCGGGAAAATATCTCATCTCTGAGAAATCTATACTAAACGTTAAAACTCGAACTCGAGTGGAGCCAGGGTGAGTTGCTAGTAGATTATTAATAAAAAGTTACCCTACGCCTGAGTGCTACTGTTTATTAGAATATCACAAGAGTGGAAAAATTGTTCTAAGAATCGAATCAATGGTTTTTAAATACGATAAGTTCTGCCATAATTCAATATTAAAAAAATTCTTTTATTTTTTAAATATATGTATATTTTAAAACTACCAAAGCTGGTTGGACAATGAACATCTTCACAAGTCAGTGTAAAATGCCAGAACAAGTGTAGTCTCTTGGCACGAAATGTATGTACAGTATCTCTGTAAAGTCTTAGAATTCGAATACTTTATTTTAATTTTAAGGAAACTGCCCTGAAGACGCATTTGCTCTAACTCTTGGGAGTCACTTTACAAAAATATGTTCGTGGAGAGAAAATTCTTAGCAAAATATAGCAACATATTTATTTTATATGTTACGATTTGTGTATAAGATATTAGAGTACACATTCCTTGATATATCGAATATATTAGTTGAAATTAATGATTTATACAAAAACCTAAAACTACCCCCGATCTACCTGTAATAAGTTTAAGTCGTTTTGTAATCGGCAAACATATCGTATATATATATATATATATATATATATATATATATATATATATATATATATATATATATATAGATATATATATATATATATATATATAAGAAATTAAAAACTCCTTTTTATTTTATGTTGGTTAACGAGCATATAATAAGCTCAATGATTCATGATTCAAAAATGTACTAATAATAATCTGTGCTATTTTCAATTAGATAATATATAGGTAATGGGATGGTTTAAAATAAAAACAGTTATTCAAATGAGTAAAATATTCAAAGCATTTATAGAAATCATAATATAGAAGCTAATTAATTATATCAAAGGGTGGAGCAAACAAAAGACATAATTTAAGTCATAAGCTTTGAACTTGAATTTTCTTTGTTTGCTGACCTGACCTCATAAAAGGCCTTTTTTATACAAAATTGAACAGATATTTGATAACCACGGATAGGTTTTTTATAAAGGACTGTGTAATTATACTTTTTTATAGCATGCTTATTAGATTTTTAGTTATTCGCTATGGCATATAATATATTGTAATGCTTAATTATAACTTTTTGAGGAGGATGTTACGTAATTCTGAATAATTATCATCGGAAACTGTTTATTTTTTATCTCAGTCATTAAAATAGAAAAAAAATAAGTAAACTTTATTATGTTTTATTAAATAATTTTGGTTTTATTTGTTTTAATTATTAATACTTTCTTAGTGTTTTAATTATTTTTTCATTTCAAGTGACGGGAGTTTAAAAAAACGTGTGTGTGTACGCACGTAAGAAGTTATACTTATTTGGCGTAACAGAACAAAAATAGCTAAAGATTTCATCCCGTTTGCCACAACTCTCTGTTTGTAAAAGGAATGCAGCTGAATTTGTCATGTCGCTTTTTGGCTGTCAATACGCGCGCATCGTAAAAATTCCAAACGTGCCAAAAGAAATAACTATAACTATATATAACTTCAAAAAAATGGGTCTATTTTTCAAAGGACGTGGTAGAATAAGTTATTGTGTGGTAAGACTACAGTAAAATCGTGTCCAATGTCCTAATATGATGCTCGCATCATGATTATGACAGAAGTGAAAAAAATATTGATAATTGGAAGCAAAATTTAAGATAATCGGGCATCAGGACTAGCATAATGAATTTATAAATCGCCATTTTAAAAATATATGTATTATCCACTAGTTTCAAAATGTAACATCAATGTTAAACTATTACTCTAACAGCTAACTGATTGCATTTCTAGGGTAAAATATCCTTGTTTTGTATTATTCCAGGACATATCTAGCTATCTACTATATACTATCTAGCAGAGTGGACTATGACCAAGCCCATGGTTGTTGTGGTGCGTCTTGGCAGGCCAGTTGTCGGGGCCGTCACGGTGCAACTTTGGACATTCCAGGTATATAAATGATACAAGTAATATAAATAAATGACCGTATACAAAATGTTATATTAAATAAATAAATATGTTCGGACTTTAACACACAGCACCATCTAGTTCCATAGTAAGCTACGAGGCTTGTGTTATGGTATACCAGATAGTTGATACACTACACATATATAACTTTAAATACATACATATTATAAATATAAACACCCATGACTAGAGTACAAGCATTCGTGCTCATCACACAAATGAATACCCCAGCGGGACTCTAACCCGCGACCGCTGGCACAGCAAGTAGGGTTACTACAAACTGAGCCAATGAAAATGCCAAAATGTTTAAAAGCTGTTCTGAACAATTTGAGCAGCCCTGGCGATCATATAATTATAAAACGTGAAGTCCATCCATACGTAAAATTATATTTTAAGAGATTTAACAATTTTAGTCTATATTGTTAGTTTTTCCTGTTAAAGCTATTATGTTAAACGTCCAAAATGTATTATCGTGTTACATTTTTCGTGTGTTTTTTATTTTCCATTCACTTTATTGAAGGACAAAGACAAAGAGGTAGGGTTTTTAACATTTTCTTAACTTAGAAGTACTAATTGAATTGAAATGCATGATTTGTGGGGATATTGAGCCAAAATACCCATAAAAATAACCCTAGATTTAATTACCCTCATCGTCTTACTAGCGCGCCATAGTATCGTTTCCGCACACTCCCATAAAGGTCCCATCACCTATCTTAAGAGGTCTCTTAGTAATAAAATAAACCCTTTCTGAATAGCAACTGAAATAAATAATATTGAATTATCTTTTTCATCTATAGTTCATACTTTCATGAGTCGATTTTAAGTGATTATTAAGATTTATGGTGCTACAGTGGATAAAGATAGACTTATCTCTAAAAGATATCTTCTTCGCCCACTTCACTCATGTATGTAGGAAATAGTGTTAAGTAGCGGGACAGAAAGATAAATGGCAGAAAAAGATAGGAAAAACATATTATATATAATTAACGTTTAGTAAAGATTTCTCAAAGATGAAATATTTTCGTGCAGTAATAAATATACTATATGTTGACCCGGATAACCAGCCAATTTTTATCAAAAACTGTTCAGTGATGTTCTCGTGATGCGTTGTTCCTAGAGAGATAGACAGACAGACAAAAAATCCAATAACTATAGATTTGGCCTCTGTATCGATAACAATGTATCGATAAGATTTTTCAAAAAATATTTTATTACAGATTCGACTCAGTTAGAATTTTATTGTATTATTTATATATAGATTAGTAAAACGAAAATAAATACAATGTATCTAAATATATAAATAATTTATATACACTCTGTAATTCCATATATAATATATAAACATAAATAATAAATATTATGTACTTTATATACTTATTTATCTAATATATAAAATTTCCATGTCACAATGTTAGTTACCGTACTCCTCCGAAACGGCTTTACCGATTTTTACCAAATTTTATATGCGTATTCAGTAGGTCTGAGAATCGGCTATTATCTATTTTCCATACCCCTAAGTGATAAGGGTGGCACACGTTAGGGACGAACCCGAGCGGAGCGAGGGTGAGTCGCTAGTATACTTATAAAAAACCTGAATCCATTTCTAGAAATGACGCTGGAAGTATTAGATTTGAAAAAAATTATTACATTTTACAGCTTACTTAGCATCTCTATGTCTTCCTTCCTTCATCAAATTGTTGTTTTAAATTCGCTTTTTACGCAGTCGGTTATTTTATTTTTGTAAATATTTTTTTTTATTTGTTGTTTTTTAACATTTCTCATTTTAAATTACATTTAAACATATAAGTTGTATATTTTTGTAAACCATTTATAAAACCCTTTATTTTAATACCGCACTCGATAGGTTTTGAGGAAAAAAAATGTAAGACATAATATAGCGCAAAAATACACTCACAATTGTTAAGACGAATCTAACGACACCTCTTAAGTATCCATCAAGCTGTTTAGGCTACAGAGCCTGCTAAATAAATATACATACACTCGAAAAACATAACCCTCCTTTTGACGTAGTCAGCTAAATATTTCTAAGAAACTAATATAATTTTTATTTATTTATCATCAGATAACCCTGTGATAGCACTTGTTCATCATTCACTCAAAGCAGTAGCCCGATCTTGTATGCAACAAGTTAATGCTACGGAAAGTGACCTCATGTACTTGCGGAAGGATCCCCCTTATCCTGAAAAGGCAGCTTGTATTATGTCCTGTTTATTGGTCAGAGTAAGTAAATATTATGTTGGAGGCTGGCAGTTTGATTACCGCTCACGACAAATTATAGTGTTTTTTTGTAAGTCTTACCGTTTATAGTAATTATTGTACCAAAAGAAGATATACATATATATGTACCTTATAATCCATATACATTGAAGGAAAGACAAGTAAAGTTCCAGTGTGTTAAGTATATACAGTATATGATGACCTACATACATATATAAATAGGAAAAAACGAAAACAGTTCAGTACCTTTGTCTCCTCTGTTTGTCAACTGATATTTTTTAGGGTTCCTTACTCAAAGGGTAAAACGGGACCCTATTTCTAAGACTCCGCTGTCCGTCCGTCTGTCTGTCTGTTCGTCTGTCATCAGGCTGTATCCCATTAACCGTGATAGTTAGATAGTTGAAATTTTCACAGATGATGTATTTCTGTTGCCGCTAGAAGAACAAATACTAAAAAACGGAATAAAATAAATATTTAAGGGGGCTCCCATACAACAGACATGATTTTTTGCCGTTTTCATACATAATGGTACGGAATCCTTCGTGCGCGAGTCCGACTCGCACTTGTTTTTAGTAGCTATTGACGATATTTAATGAAATAAAATTAAAAATAACTCTATAATATAAACAGCTATCATTCTCACCGGCTCTTCTCTCTGCTTTAAAGAACATTATAGTAGTACTTCTTAACGGAAAGCACATCCACTTCCGTTCAATGACAATCTAAAAGAGCTTATAAAATATTTCTTATATAATCTTGAGTAGGTACTTGGGCGATCGAGCTTTACTCGGTGTAGGCGTCCGTGCAGTAGGTTTTATCATCCAATGGCGACAATGCAAGTATATATATATATATATATATATATATATATATATATATATATATATATATATATATATATATATAAGATAACATAATGAGTAGACCAAGGACTCTTATTTTAAGGTATGTTTTAATAAAATTTCATATTTAATTTTATTGACAGATTGGATTGATAAAGGACGACAAGTATTCCAAAGAAGGCTTCATGAACATCGTCAATCCACTTGTCTTCCATAGTAAAAAGAAACTCGAACACTTGAAGGATGTGTCGGAGACTTGTGATAAAGAGGTGATTTTTGTTATCTATTATCTATTATGTATTATTGTAAAGATTTTATTGGAAATCACTTTAAATACAAATCTTTTATAAATTGGCAAAGGCAATTTATAGCTTACTAGCGACTTCCGGCTCTAGTTACTTTTTAACGCTTAGTATAAATTTCTCAAAGATGAAATATCTTCCTGTTATTAAAAGTATTCTATGTGTTGACCCGTATAAATATTTTTTTTGGAAATTTTAATGAAATAAACATTATTATTGATACAGAGGCCGAATCTATAGTTTTTAGAATTTTTGTCTGTCTGTCTGTCTGTCTGTCTGTCTGTCTGTGTATTACCGCATCACAAAGAAACCACTGGAGGAACTTTGATGAAATTGTGTATGGTGATAGATGGTTAGCCGGGTCAACAATTATAGGATACTTTAGCACGGGAAAATATTTAATTTCCGAGAAAAAATACAAAAACTGCAATGTAAGTGTAACTAATATGTAAAACCTAAGAATTTGGTTTTTGGTCATCTGAACGCGGGCGGAGCCGCGGGCAATTCTAGTATATTATAAATTCATTACAAACACTTCGACTTCAAATTACATTCAAAATGATTGTTTTTCTTTAGAGTTGAATTTCTTTTCGGAAGTTATTTTTAATTTTTTTAATTTGATTTAAGGAGAAATAAAGTCAAAATGGTACCTCCTTTCTAAAAGACAGCCATTTAATTAGATTTAAAACAACTTACGTTTTTAATAAAACAATATAAAATCAATATTATATGAATTACTAGTAATATGTAAACCTAAATGCAGGTAAAGCTACGGCTAAAGCTATGAGGTTTAATATCTCATTAAAACTTTAATCACTATCTGTAATACATACTATCTGTAATAACTACGACTTTTAAGAACTCAAAAACTTTAGTCTCTCCCGTGACCATGTTTGCTGTACATCATTCAAAATATCGGGAACAAAATATCTATAAAATCCGAAAAGATAGTTTTATGCAAAATTACAGACTTACCCTGACTTCGTTCTGGTGAGACCTTAGATGCCTAGCGGCCTATATTCTACTCCAGGTCTTAGTATATTTGCGTACATCTAAATCCGTTCAGGCGTTTGCCGTCATGAAAGAAAAAAAAACACGATGACACGTTTGGCTCATTTTGTAGTTGCTATGCTAGCGGTCGCGGGTTCGAGTCTCGCTGGAGGAATTCATTTGGGTGATGAGCGCGAATGTTTGTATTCGTGTTTATATTTATAATAAGTATGTAATTAAAGTTATATACATATATGTATGTATTATTGTGACTGTGTGTGTTAAAAATACTGTGTATCAACTAACTGGTATTCATAACACGAGTCTCGTAGCTTAACATGGAACTAAGTAGTGCTGTGTGTTAATGTCCCAATATATTTATAAACATACGCACATTCAAACTTTCGTATTAATAATACTAGTTCAATATTGATAAGGCAATGGTATCCCACTGGTAATACGCTCGCTTGGGAAACCAAGTGAAGCGGGATCAAATCCCGGGTCTCGCACCTCTGATATTTTCATGTGCGAATCATTTCTAACATGATTACCACTTGCTTTACGGTGAAGGAAACCTGCATGTCTGAGAGAACCTAGCAAAGTTTTCGAAAGACATGCGAAGTCCACCAACTCGCACTTGGCTAGCGTGGTGGACTATGGCCTGATACCCCTCATATTGAAGGGAGGCCCGTGCCCAGCAGTGGGACGTTAAAAAGGGCTGAATAGAATATTAATTTTTCACGTAAATATTAATCTCATTTTATGTTTAAACTTTTTCAGGTTATCAACCAAGAAGACGTATGTAAGCTCGCCAGTGACATAGTCGCATGTATTTACCAATATGCCCCCGAGTTACATTTTAAAGGCTAACATTGGTATAAAATATGCTATAATGAAATAATAAAAAAATATAAACATACGAAGTTTCATTTGAATATTAAAAAAATATTAAATTGTTTATTGATATAATTGTATACATACAAATAATATATATTGAATGGAGCCAACCGATGGTGAAATATATAATAACTACATAAAGACACATTACAAGAGGGGATATTACTTTTAAACTTATAATATACTAGTAACTCACCCTCGCTTCGCTCGGGTTCGTCCCTACTTTGATTCCCCATACAAACTTTCATCCCCATTTTCACCCCCTTAAGGGATGATTTCCGGGATAAAAAGTATCGTATGTCCTTTCCAAGATCTCAAACTATCTTCTTTCCAAATTTCATCTAAATCAGTTCAGTAGATCCAGAGATTACCCCCTACAACGTCACAAACTCACAAACTTTACCTCTTTATAATATTAGTATAGATTGGTCTTCAATATTTTGAATAAATGATAATTTTTATCAAAATATTTTAGCAAGTATCTAGTTATTGAGTTAAAAAATAACTTAAAAAAACCAGATACTAGAAAGTAAAAACTTAAAAAAAACGGCTTCTAGACGCTAAAAATTAAAAAAAAAAAACTAAACGGAGGTTTTCATTTGCTTTAAACACCTAATCAGATATTTTTGAAATTGCCGGTTAAAAATAATATCTAATGTGTGTTTTTGGTGTTATTCACGCCACGACCGTGGACACGCCGGCATGTCAGTTAACAATAGTTTTCTTAGCATATTAATTAATTTCTTAGAAATTTACCTGGATGTGTTATTATATAATATGATTAAGATTTGTTATGCGTTGATGAAAATAAATGCGGTTTAATTTATTTTATCTTTACCAGTTATAATAGTTTGGTTTGTTTGCAACTTCATAATATTGTTTCAACACTTTAACACATCATGATGACTGTTATGTGCGTAGTCTATAACATGGATATAAAGTAACTCATTCTTACCGTTTCTTCAAAATAATACCTTAATATACTTCAACGGATCCATATCTGTTAAATTAACACCATTTTTATATTATGATTAGGTACTTGTTGTACAACCAAAAAATATTTAAATTATAATATTTAGGAATTGTATATTTTATACTTTTTATTAGTTAAGTCCTAGAAGATCAAAGCTTTAAAAAAACATTCTTCTTCACTCGGGAATCAAACACGCGACCAGCTATATAACCAGTGTCTATTAGAAATGCTTGTGAAGTATCCATATAAATATTATAAATGCGAACGTAACTCTATTTATTTGTTTATCACCGTTTCACGACTAAATGGCTCAACCGATTTAGATGAAAATTAGTATGGAGATAGTTTGAGGTCCTGGGAAGGACATAGGATAGTTTTTACCCCGAAAATAATCCCTTAAGGGAGTTAAAAGGGGACTGGAATTTGCATGGGGAATCAATAATTTCTCAAGTAAGAGATATAAAACACATCATACAAGCTATATATATATACATTCTATCTATTCCATAACAACCATCAAAACGTAACAAATAAATATAATAATTATATTAGTTAAAAATAACGCGATTTTTACAGAAGTGTAAGAGTATATAGTCTATTGTTTTAAAAGCGTGACAGTCGGTTGAACATGAAAAGCTATAAAAAGACTCAAAACAAAAGCCTAAAATGACGTGGAGCCAAGACAATGGCCATCTAACAGTGTATTAAAACTGTGTTCTAATTCCTATCTTTTAATTTCGCTTTAAATTCACTATCTGAAATGGCATCGTATCTATTCACAGGGTAGGTCGTAGGTTTGATTTTCAAGGAAATAGTGCAGGACTTTTAGTGTGCTGCCACTTAGCAATTTAGTAAATTAATATTGCCTCATATTATCATATTAAGTGGTCTTGAGGCATTTCATCCTAAGCACATCTATATATATTTGGCAAAGACTAAGGAATTCAGTACCATTTTCTACCCTGTTTGTCAACCGATTTTTTTTTTGTTTAGTAGTTATCGACAAGCTTTATTGTTTTAGTATTAATTTTGGAAATATTTCGTTTGTTTTATAATGAATATGGGTGCGTTTCGACCACTGGGCAAACTTGTCAGAATGAATATCTGTATGTGCAATATAAAAGTCTATTCCGTGCAACGAACCTGAGACTTTCAGCCAACTTAACTATTTATTCTAATTTACTAATTAATTATCTATGGATTAAACTAAAAGATCTATAAAAGACGACACGTTTGGCTCAGTTTGTAGTGACCCTACTTGCTGTGCCAGCGGTCGCGTGTTCGAATCCCGCTGGCGGCATTCATTTGTGTGATGAGCACGAATGTTTGTACTCCAGTCATGGGTGTTTATATTTATAATAGGTATGTATTTAAAATTATATATATATGTAGCGTATCAACTATCTGGTATCCATAACACAAGCCTCGTAGCTTACCATGGAAATAGATGGTGCTGTGTGGTAATGTCCCACCATATTTATTAAGAGAAGAAATTGGAAAAGACTTGTAAGAAAAAGAAAAGAATTCACTTAATATCCATCATAGCACTCTTGTGAGGTAAAGAAAGAGCTAGTGCAGTGTCTGTTTTCTTTACCGACTTTTTTGAGATATTTTAATAAAATTCTACTAATATTATGTAAATGTCACAGTTTGTGAGGATGGATGGATGTATGTTTGTTACGCTTTCACGCCAGAGCGGCTGAACGGATCTGGATAAAATTTGGAACAGGTATAAGATTATAGCCTCGAACAGGACATAAGTTACTTTTCATCCCGGAAAAATATACGGTTCCCGTGGGATAGATTTGTTTTTGTCTATGGACGAATCTGAAGCGAAATGAGAGTGAGTTGTCAGTACTTTATTATAATTTTAAATTTGAATAAATCTAGCAATGGTAGGGGAGCCCACGAAGCTAAATGGGGATTTACTCGAGCGTCGTAGAGACCTATTGGGATGCAAAGCTTAGATGATAAGAAGAAAAAAATGTTATATGATATATACCTTTACATCGGTGGGGGAAGCGGCTATAGATTTTTAAATATGTAAAAAAAACTGTTGCATAGACATCCTCGAGCGCGTCAGATATTGATAGCATAAATGCCCTACGTATTTTTAATAATGTACGTATGTTAATCTGATCGTTTGCATGATGCGGGTGGTTGTATTTAAGGGTTGAAAATGAAAAAAAAAAAATTTAATCGAGCGCGTCAGATTTTCTAAGGGAGTGTTAATTGCACCAAAAAAAAGCTCTCATTCACTAATCTGACGATTTCGATGGGACGCAAACTCGCGGCCATTTTCATAATGTGCAAAAAAAAATCGCCATTTTGAAATACTCAAGCGCGTCAGATTAAGATATATATGGTTCATCTTTATGTTCTAAACGTACTGTCTCATAATCTGACGATTATCTAGAGGGATTCGCCTGATCTGACAAAAAAAATTAGAAAAACGGTTCACCTTAAAGGCCATACCTGCAACTTCCCGCTAATTCCATTCCTGTGCGCTTAAAATTGTACTTATGGCATTTTTGAGCTCAAAATATAATTTATGTAATATTTTGAGCTCGCAGAGTTCAAAGAAATAATATTTCTATGCATTTGAGCTCTCCCAGCTCGAAAGTCTGATAGAGGTTTCATAGAACACTATTTTTGGAATTTTCAAACCGCAATAACTTTTGAATAGATCAAGCAATTTTCACGCGGTTGACGGCATTCGACGCAGTTTTATTATCCTCATAATTTTTTTTTTCTCAAAAGTTTTAATTGATCGAACCAAAAATTTCGGAGTAATCCCGAAAAAACACTTTTTTTCGGTTTTCTTTCGTTCACGATATCTCTCAAATTGAAGATCCAGAGATATTTCATTAATTCGCGAATTATTCGAAAACTTTCGAATTATTCGAAATTTTTACGAATTATTCGAAATTTTTCGAATTTCAAATCGAATATTGATATTCGATTCGATTCGAACGATGTTCGCACACCCCTAGACTCTTTATGATCAGCTGTGATGGTGTCATGGCGGCAGAAACCAGAGTGGGGACGGAGTGAGAGAGTAATAGATAGAGAAAGAGTGAGAGAGGAATAGAAACGCGGAGAAGGAAATGTAGGCATCACGCAGCTGCACGCATTTAACTTTATCGACGAATTTTTGTTATTTCGGCTTGCGGAAATCGTCAGATTATATATTTTTCATTATTCTTGAATTATTTCCTTCAAAATAAAAAAAAAATTAGCTACGCTCGAGAATGTCGAGATGACGTTTTTTTTTACAACTTTGTTGCCCTCCCCTTTTTTTACGTCACTCTCAAATTGTCAGATTAGTGGAATATACACTTTTTAGGATGTAATTAACTCACCCTACCTTAATCTGACGCGCTCGAGAATTTCTGATGGTCAATTTTTTTTTACTAATCTGATCCTGTATCCTTCACGGGCGGCCTTATATATGGGCCTCATGTTTTGTGGAGGTACTTAACCGGGTACAAGGTATCCCCCTGTATATTAATCTGCCGCGCTCGAGTAATACATTCGTTCGTTGGAAAAAACATTTAAAATTATGTACTTTCAATAAAATTATATTTTATCAATGGTAATTAAGACGAAACAAAAATAATTATTAACATTCCCATTGCTGTACAGTACAATGGTTTATTTTATGACAAAAGATAATTAATTAATGAGATCAGGTCGAAGCTCTTCAATTATGATAATTTATGTAAGTATTGTATGGCTGTATATGTAATCGTTAGCGGATTGATAGAGGTCATGGGTTCAAAGCTAAAGAAATAATGTGGGTGAATCAAAAATCAGGTATTATGTCCTCCTGACTAATTTCATTCAACAGAAGTGGACAATACACAATCTCAATGATACTAAAAAAATTTTTTTGTCATTTGTGCAAGAGATATACAAAACATGTGTGTGCAAAATACACTCTCAATTCTTTTCACTTTGGTGGGGTGAAAAATTCGACAAGAATCGGCAAGGCTCG